TTTTTGCTTAAAAATGATTGTTTATGTTGTTTTTTATCTTCCGTTAGGTTTTTATGCCTTAGAAACGTATGCAATATTTTTAGAATTATCAACAATTTTAAAGTTGTCTACTTGCCGCTAAGCATTTTTTTATGGCGGCCATTGCTTTTTATTGAGACAGGAACTATGGCTTGTTTGGCATCGAGAGCGTAGCGGCAACCTTAAGATTTACAACAACAAGCATTTCACAATTTTTTGAAAAATCTGAGATTACGCGTAATTTTTATAATATTAATTTAAATTATTTCGCTTTGCAATCAGAACCAATAATTGTGAGAATATCATGTCTGTAAAAAGTTCTTTGTGTTTTGCGCAATTTCTTTTATGCATCATCTATGCTTGTATAGGAAGTTGGGCAGGATGTATTCTATTCTTTAATGATATAAATTTTGTGCTATGAGCCTAGGGACAAATGTATAAGTAACTGTATATAATTAATGCAGCACAGTTACTGCTGTTAACTGGCAATAAAGTTAATGAGAATTATTAAACTGTAAGTGGAATCAGCGCCAGAGGTGCTATGGTAAACAAATACTGGTGTTTTAGGTGCATTTATTCTATTGTGTTTTATGTGCGGAAGTAGATTCTTTCAATCCATAATTTAATGAATGACGAAAGGGTATAATTTATATTCCGTTACAGTCATGGGGGGTAGCCATAGGTAACAAGTCTTTTGGGGTTCGATTTTTTTTTTGTTCAACAGGGTTAAGAACGTAAATAGTACAGAACTGAAGGGAGCTGATTAGTTATAGTGTGGTAATGGATTCAGGAGGAAGTGCATATTATTACTTGGATTCACTTGTAAAAAGCAACATAAAAGGATTGCAAAAAATAAGCTTGTTTAGATGAATATTCGACACTTTTACACAGGAACATGAAATACTCTAAAGAGCCGACCGTGACCGAGAGAGCTCTACAATCCCCTCACAAGATATTTCTAAGAAACTCTGTAGGCTACAAACTCGCGGGGTTTAATATGAATACAAATTATGTAAAGGGGGTGGGAAGAAAATTTTTATAAAAAAAACAAAAAACTTAAAGAATAAGATTACATATTATGTCCAAGGGGTGTTTTTAAAACGGGTAATTATTTATTAATATCCTGGTTATTCGCACTTGAACAAAAATTCATTCAACCGCATTATGCAAATACATATCTTTATAATTTCGCGAGTAAATCGTTTCGCGCGCACAGATAAAGGTTTTTCTGTACAATATGATTGCTTGCTTGAAATGCTGAGTTGGTAATAAAGGCGTAAGTGTTTGCAAATGTGTCGTTCATACAAGGGCTTATTCTAAGAAGAAGGGGAGCCCTGAAACTGCAGCAGGAGACCAAGGTAAATAATAAAGGGCGAGAGAACTCATAAATATTCACATAAAAAGTTAAATTATGCAATAATTAATAGTAAATTACCATAATTTTATTTCATCAACATTGTATACATGAATTTTTCATGTGTTACAGAAACATGTTATTATTAAATAATTAAAGGGAAGTATTAATGTTGTTAATAATGAAAGAGATATGAATGGCGATTTTTAATATAACCTGATATTAAAAGGGCTCGGGAGATAAATTCTACAGCAAGAATTCAAACATAAGAGAAGTGCCGCAGCCTTATTGGCTCCGGCGGTCCGGCTAGAATTAATTAATTACAAAAAGAACAACCAAGTCGAGATCCGGTGGGCTTTCGGCCCAATTTAACTCTGGGGGGGACGGAGTCTTTACATCACGAAATAAATATCCTCACGTATAGCTGATGAAAAATTTCCAGGGAGAAACAGAATGAAGGGTATGAGTAGGTGGAAACAAAAAAAGAGGGAAACCCTGGTGAGGAGAACGTCTCTTTGACTACGGCTCTTCTGCTGATATAATTATAGGCATCAAGCAGATGTATGGCAGGGGTAAAATGGGTCCTGATCTGAATTCCTAGGATAATGTAAATTCCCTGGTTCTACCTTTCCCCATTAGTGAATACTGAGGACGACGATGTATAGGACGTGCTTGAGAATTTACCTCAGTAATTTCACTCTTTTGTACTTTCGCTGTCACTTAACAACGCACTTTGAGAACACAATTTTTCCACCATCCTGCGTAGGATAACTAATTGTAAGCATCGATAACAATACACAAGATACGTGGAAAGGGACTGGACTAACGTGTAACTCCTAAAGCTCTCGAGTGGTCGCATACTGATTTCTTCCACAAGTTCTTGCAGGCGGGCCTCGTCATATCACTAGTGCCAAAGAATATAATTGTTAAAAGGAAAGCCTCGCAGCAGCAGGGTGGCTCCCTTCGAATCCTGCGAGGATAACTAATTGTAAGCATCGATAACAATACACAAGATACGATGGCAAATGGACATGGGACTAACGTGTAACTCCTAAAGCTCTCGAGTGGTCGCATACTGATTTCTTCCACAAGTTCTTGCAGGCGGGCCTCGTCAATATCACTAGGCCAAAGAATATGTATTGTTAAAAAGGAAAGCCTCGCAGCAGCAGGAGTGGCTCCCTTCGAACGAAAAGGGAAACAGCTGCGCATGCGTAAAATATCTGTCGCCAAAGAGCGCCAAAGCTCGAAGCTGATGTCGAAGTTCGAACAGGTTCGACGGTCACGATTATCAAGAGTTTAAAGCTGTGTGACTCCATTTTTTTCCCCTCCATATTGACGGATATAAAATCAGACATCAAACTGCGATATGGATGCTCCAACGTTCAACTAGCCAAAGTGAAAAAAGTGAAACTTCGACCTTTAATTTTCGCGAAAAGTCAAAGAACGATTCATCTTAATCCGTGTTCCTCAATTTCCTGTACGCGTGACGGAGGAGGAAAATCTCGGCCAGGTCCAGTACATCACAGAGGGGGAAATTCTCGCCATCAAGTTCCGTCGCCAAATCCCTTGGCGAATTTTCCCTCTTCTTTCTAGCGGCGTAAGAGACAAACTGGTTTACATTACGTCTATGGAGCCTTTCCTTCTTTACATACACGCTCTTTGACTAGGCCGGTCAGAGCGCTCTCCTTCTTGAATGCCATGTCCTTGTTTTTGAACTTTCGGTACTAAACCTTTACAGTGTCCTATGACACAACATTAGTATCTAAAGCTGTACACGTGATTTGGTGACATTGTGTCGCTGACGTTTTGCAACAGAACTGGAAGTAAATGATGGTTCTAATCTGGTAGTTCCATTTTGGACACCTTGTACTTAATGATAACGACACTTTTTTCCAAATTTCACAATAGAGTGTTCTAAAGCATGCATCTTTCTTTCAAATGCTAAAAATCGTTTGGAAAAATATGATTAAACACGCCAAAGCGAACTGTTTGCGCAGACGATGTTTGCGGTGGCGGGAAACTTTCGTTAAAACCCGATATTTACTAAACTAAACTCAAAATCTTTTTTAAATATCTTTTATTTTGTTAGTAAAATTTTTAATTTAAAAAGGAAATTCTGGCCTATCATCTGTTTTTAGATTAAACGTTGTCATTCTGAGATTACTGACGTAGATGATAAATGCTTTGGTTTCATAACATAAAAATAGAAACACCCAGTAAAGTTTATTGCGAAAGAAATTCCGAATGTTAGTGCTACGTACGATTTTTCTCCTTCATAATTTATCTCGAAATAAATAGCAATGGAATAAAAAATATGAAACAAGTTTTAAAAATTTTAACTCTGATTGAATTCCGCGAACAAATTCTTAAAGTTAGGCTTTAAATGTCTTCACAATTAAAAGGAATGGGGTTCGCTCAGGAATTCGAAAAATAATAATAATAATAAGCAGAAATGAATTAGAACACAAAATTCTGAAAAGACTTTAAAATTTAAACATTTGCATAGAGTTATCTGAACTGAATCTTAAACACTTTCCATTAAACCCTTCATTGTCGTATATGTGTCTCCTAGATAAAAAAATATCCCTTCACCTGCGTATAGATATCATTTCATGTTGTAATATTTGCCTGAAGATAAGATTCGCCCAATTGAAATTCCATGGAATTAATTAAATGATAAAATTTATTGATCGTATATGTCAACTCAGAACACGGTTTCATTGTCAAATGATCGTTTATTTATTCAGTATTTCTGTTTTCAAACCATTTATTCGCTTGTTTGTTTTTTAACTGAATATTTTTCAAGATTTGTTTTCTTCTCGTTGGCGTCGCATAGAAGTTTATTAACTTGCATTAGAATTTATAAGTAAATGTTTTTTTTTTTTTTTAATTGTGGTTACAGCATTTAATTCCTAGTTTGTATTAAATATTTGGTAAGCAAAATGAAATTTTTCATCTCTTATACTATTAAATTCGGACTTTTTAAAAAGGCTTTCCGAATAAATTAATAAGATAACATTACTTCCTAAGAAAACGTTTCTGTGTTGGAATTTTCAGACTTTCAAATGCTAAAACTTGAAGCAAAATGTTAGAATTTTCCAGTGCTAAAAATTGAAGATTTTATATTTTAAAAATAGTTTCTTAAAAAACGCATATTTCCCCTCTAAGGTTTAAAAAATAAATTGAAGAAAAAGTATTTTTAATGTTCCCTGGATGGCAACAATACTAAATAACGTAGTTGAACAGTATTGCTATTTGCAACTATAATAGAATAACTAAAAATTCTTTTTTGTTTATTTTATGTAGTTGGGGGTTTATTTGTTTGCTTGTTTACTTGAGTCTAATCTTCCAAAAGATTTCTTAATCTCTTCCACTGAAGCCGCCCTTAAAAAAAAAAAAAAAAAAAAAAAATTAGACCGACATAGGAAGAAAAGCAAAACATTTGGATTATTAGCATCTGTCAGTTTTTTCTTTTACACGCATTTTAAATCCTGTTTGAAATTATTAGACTCTTAATTCGTATTTCGATTTTACTATTAGTTATCTTAGAAACTACTATTAGTTATTCTACTACTAGTTATCTTCGAAATAGCTCTAATGGAACAAGGATGTATAACTGCAAAATAAAAGCTGTTTAGAATATTTTATTAAGTCACTTCATTATCAGTCCTTATCCACGAGTTCTTTGTTTTATTCCAAAGGCGAATCGCGTCAACTGGCCAGTGTCGGGGGGACATTTCCGACACCATCCAGGGCAGTGGACGATTAGACTGATCTATCATCCACTGAATGACATCATGTTCGGTTCTTGCAAACCAGACCCCAAGATCAACGTGGGAAATGCCAGCCACGCCCGCTGCCAAACCTGTCACAAAAATATCATCTATCCAGAGATAAGGAACCCGTCTGGAGGTCGCCGCTTCGTGTATTTTTGCCATTGCTGATGGACGAGCAAAATAAGCCAATCCGCTGCAATATTCGGGGTACTCTTGCAGAGGGTACTCTTTTTGAGTCACTTGATACTTCCCGGAACGGTGAGGAGCGGTGCCAATGGGCATAATCCGGCAGGCTATGACATCACCAGAAGGGGACTTTGGTCCAAGAATATCAAGTAACAAAGACACTGCTCTTTTTATATCTACGAAGGCATCATCATCCGCTTTCATGAGGAAAGGAGCTTCAGGGCAGTTTCTCAAGGCCCATCGTATTCCAGCCAGATGCTTCAAAGTCAACAACTTGTAGCTGTCCATGTACTGAACAAGAACCAAGTCACCGTGCTCCTTTGCCTCTCGGAGAACCTTCTGTGATATCTTTTTCGATTTGGAACGTCCAACAACGAAGAGGGTTCGGACGCTGGTTGGCCCTTCTGCGAAGGAGCCCCAGGTTTGACGAATGGCTTTCCGATGAGGGACATGACTAGGAGATGAATGGATAATAGCCAACAAGAGTGGTCTGGACTGGTTGCACGGCGCAGCTGTTCCTTCTAGAAATTTGATGCTGTCAAAATCGAAGTAGTATGGTTCGGGGGTTGTTGATGGAGGATCTTCTTGAGGACGGTCAATCCTAAGACAGTTGCGTGAAATGAGTAACAGGCCACTGAAGACAAAAAGTAAGAAGGCAAATAGGCTCCTTCTTAATCTGTGGCGTCCTAAGGGCAGCATAAAAATGGTGTAGAATAACACTTTTCCTTCCACAGAAGCATCATGTTACCTGAAGGAAAAGAAAACAAGGTTAAGATTTTAGCTACAGTTTCTCAAATCCAAATCTAAATTCAAACTCTGAAAGGGCCTTGAATCTTTCATGTAATAATAATAATAATAAGGGGATAATAACTTTCAGAAATTTCAGAAGTTACAGAATAATAATGTAGTAAATAATAATCTTTTTCCTAATGTAGGCTTCTTCTGTTTCTTTTAAAAGCCTGTTTAATGCGAAAGTTATACTTACCGAAAAAAAAGTTTAACAATAAATTTTTTGAAATAAGACCTACATTTATTAAAAAGATAATAACAGAAGCCTATAATTAATACTGTTTATTCTTTTTTTTCTTTTAACATTTATTTTCTAAATGTAATATGACAAAAAAATTGAGTAACAGATTCATTTTATGCAGTTCTTCAGAATCTTGCTAAATCAGAGCAAGTATGGAGGAAAGGAAAGATTATTTCAAAAATTAATGAAAATTAAAAACCAAAAGTGAAATGCTAAGTTTTGTTTAGCATATTAACAGGGACGCTCTTAGAGTCGCCACGAAGATATAGATGCACTCAAATTGTAAGTCGTACGGTTCATTAATGAACGGTTCTATTGGATTTCAGATGGCCTATATGTAACGAAATGGCAAAGTCGTATCCTTTTATTACTGAACTGTTCTATTAGACTTCAGGTGATCCAGATCTACTGAAATTGCAAAATAGTACCCTTTTATTAGTGAACTCATGTACTGCAAAGTCGTATCCGTTTGTTAGTGAACTCATCTACTGCAAAATCCTGTTTTTTTTATAAATGAACTTTTCTATTACACTGCAGAGGATTCAGATCTGCTGAAATTGCAAAGTCGTATCCTTTTATTAATGAACTCATCTACTGCAAAGTCGTCTCCTTTTATTAATGAACTGTTCTATTTGATTTCAAGTGATCCAGATCTACTGAAATTGCAAAATGATATTTTTATTTCAATGAACTCTTTTGCTGGATTTTGAATAAAAATAATCTTAAACATTTAAAAGTTTTTGTAAGTTAGCATTTGAGAGTTTCAAATAGCGAGTAGACGAGAACGATTCATGTATACTGCAGAAATATTTCTCACCGTGAAAGATATGGATAACTCAGCATTTGAGCTTGAAGAATGCTATTAGTTCTATGGTACGAGGTGCTTTTTTCAACAAAATTGGTTAGAACTCAATCAAACTAACGTTTTCGAAGTTTTGAGTTAAAAACATTTAGCATTTTCTTATGTTAGAATTCGAAATATTTGACTGACAGTAAAAGACGCAAAAATTCGAACTTTTGAATCTCTAAGACTCGTAGGATATGAGAATTCGAATGACTCATCTCTATTTTTCTCGAAAACTAGAAACAAGGTTCTAGAAACAAATTTTCGAAACTTCGTAATTTTTTTCATCAAAGAAATTTTTAAAATACATGTGCAGTTTAATTCGAAACTTTAGAAAATTAGTTTTGTTGTCGTCCAATAGAAGCTCGAATTAAAAAAATACATTATTGCTCAGAATTTTAAAATACATTATTGCTCGTAATTTTAAAATACATTATTGCTCATAATTAAAAAATACATTATTTCTCATTATTTAAAAATGCATTATTTCTCATAAGTAAAAATACATTATTGTTCATAATTAAAAACAACACATTATTGCTCATGATTAAAAAACATTAATGCTCATAATTAAAAACAACACATTATTGCTCATGATTAAAATTATTATTGCTCATAATTAAAAATATATTATTCCTCATAATTAAAAATACATTATTGCTCATAATTAAAAAATACATTATTGCTCATTATTTAAAAAATGCATTATTTCTCATAAGTAAAAATACATTATTGTTTATAATTAAAAACAACGCATTATTGCTCATGATTAAAAAAAATTAATGCTCATAATTAAATTCAACACATTATTGCTCATGATTAAAATCATTATTGCTCATAATTAAAAATATATTATTCCTCATAATTAAAAAATACATTATTGCTCATTATAAAAAATAAGTTATTGCTCATAATTAAAAACAATATATTATTGCTCATTATAAAAAATACGTTATTGCTCATAATTAAAAACAATATATTATTGCTCATTATAAAAAATATGTTATTGCTCATAATTAAAAACAATATATTATTGCTCATGAAAACAAAGTAGGGTTGACCTAGAGCGAACTTTCTAATCAAACATTTATTTAAGGTTTCTGCATTTTTACATTTTTCTAAAAATGTTCGGTATTTATGTTTTTTATAAAGTTTGAAACATTTATTTTAGCAAGTAAAAGAACTTTTTTATTCTTATTAATTTCTGAGGAAAGTTTTACGATCTATGTTTAATGTGTACCTATTATGTTAACGCTTGAACTCTTCAAACAATCTTCTCTTTACTTTGATTACAATCAAAGTAAAGAGAAGAAACAATTACTTTAAGAAAAGTTTCTTCAAAAGGTAAAGAAGTTTAACTCTTCCTTAAATACGTTTTGTCAAATTATGCTAAGGAAATGGAACCCCATATTCAAATTTTTTAATCATACACTTTGTTACATACAAAAATATGTAATTTGTAACGTGTTAATAAATGTAGAAGTATATTTAAAATCTGTACTTTAATTTTTTTATTCAATATAGATTTTAAAATTTCCTTTAATTAAAAAGATTTCACTATTAAGCAAACATATCCCTCACTTCCATCTTTTTCTTCTTTTTAGTCTTACATGAAGGATTCTATAGATTCGACACCTGAAATATTCTTTGGGTGGAATATTCCAGTTCGGATTTGAAATAAAAAATAGTGATTCCATTCTTAACACTTAGCTAATAATTAAACTGAATTATTAGCTAACTAATTAAACTGAATCATTATTTAAATTTACCATGCAAAGAGTTTCAAAAACATTGATTGCTTTATAGAGACATTAGGTTATTTGGAAGCAGGAGATGAAAAATGAGCAATGCCCTCGCCGAGACTCGAACCCCTCGAATACGCACCGAGCGTGCTGGCTACTACACCACGAAGACATGTTAAGAAGGCGTGAGAAATACCTTATATACCCCCCTTTTAAAGGGGGACTGGGTTTTTTTAAGAGACCCAGTCGCCAAACCCTGGGGGAGGAGAATCATCATCCAATACCCTTTTTTAGTTCGGGCGACACTATAGAGACATTAAGTATTTTTTTGGGAGTAGGCAAAATGAAAAATATTCAACGCCTTCGCCGGGAATCGAACCATGGACCTCTGGAATACATGCCCAGCGTGCAGACCACCACACCACGAAGGTATGCCAAGAAGACGGGAGAAATACCTTATAAATATTTTGTGTTGTATATATTTAAATATTTGAATTTTTAATGCAGTCGAATTATATTGAAAAAAATGAAACTTAAAATTAAAATTTAATTATGTATGCCTTTCAGCTTTACTTGTTTTTTTAATTTCATATGCACCTTCTTCATAAACACAGATGTAATTTTGAAAATTGTACTCAATTAAATTTATTTTTCTCTAAACGCACGTTTCAAATTTTACTTCATCTGAAAATATTCAATACCACTTTTTTTTCTTTCTTCTTCTTATTAATACGTACATATGAAAGATATGAAGCAAATTCAGAATTCGCCCTAGCTCCACTTCTGGATGACTGACTTTGTTACAGTGATGCGCAATTCACTTAGATAAAAGATGAATATTAAAAAAATATTAGTCTTCATCGGCTGGCAACAGTTTTTATTTTGCCAAGCATTTTGATGTTAAAACTCACATACACACAGAAACAAATTTCGTTTTAAAAACTATTTAACAATATAAACGACACCATATAACAGTATAAACACACGAAATAATATATGGTGTTAAAAAAATCAATGTTACGTTAGAAAATAATCTTTTTTTTTTTCACTTTTATTTTTAAATACAAATCGCTTTTTAGCCCTACCAAGCTAATCCATCATTCTTTATCCCTGTTGCCATTTCCCGAAGCGAAATTTGTAACCATGCCAGACCCAATTTCAGAAAAATAGATCATCACAAATCTAACCTAAAAGAACGTAGAATGAAGTAACACTGCAGAGTTCTTAATAACCTGATCCTTTAAAAGCCCTTTTGTAACCAATCCTTTAACATAAACTGTTGGACTAACTGTTACAACAAGGCTGCCCTCTGGTGAGTAGCCAGAGAAATACTTGAGTAAAAGCCAAGGTTCCCACTTCTTAGGTTGTACCAGACTGTTGCTGTGTAATTATTCTAATTATTCTTGAAGTTAAATGTAATGTCCGTGTGTAACTTAAACCTGTTAATAAATATTTGTTACACTATACCGGACTCTTCTATGACCCTATCTAAAACCTATCTGACCTATTTACAAAGTGGCGCCGAATGTTGATGTTTAGCTTTAAGAATTTTCCTTGACTTTTGCTCACTTTCTTTTTCAGAAACAGTACTTGCAGCCACACCCGCTGGATCTCACTCCTAAAAGTTTAGGAAAGGAGATACCTCGCCCGTCAGGTATGATTTTTATTTTTGTGTGTGACACTCCGATGGCCTATCAGCAACAAATAGTTGTCGTTAATGATATGATTTGTTTTGCATTTAAACACTAATTTTCTATAATGTGTTAACCCTTAATGTTGAAAAGGTGAAAATACTTGAATATGAAAACGTAAAAATACTTTACTGTGTTCTTAAAGTATATATGTGTATCTTTCATGAATATTGTATCATTTTGAAGTGATTAAGAAATTCCTTCATTTTGTTTACACATAATGGTGGTGCAGCCCCATCCACCTAATCGACAAGATTTTATGACAAACAAGGGCTGCGCCAAACAAAAACAAAAAAAACAAAAAAAAAAAAAAACCATATAAAACACATAATTATACATGAAATTACATATTACATGAAATACATATAAAATACATAATTATATAAACGCATAAAATACACCACATAACGCACTGAATAAAATTATGTTAAAATTCCATAT